AAACCATTTCAGGTGACTACCTCTTGAAGCTCATGGAGAGAATGCCAAGAGTGTGCAAAGCAGTAATCAGAGCAAAGGGTGGCTATTTTGAAGAAACTAGAATATAAAACATGTTTTCAGTTATTTCACCTTTTTTTGTTAAGTACATAACTCCACATGTGTTCATTCATAGTTTTGATGCCTTCAGTGAGAATCTACAATGTAAATAGTCATGAAAATAAAGAAAACGCATTGAATGAGAAGGTGTGTCCAAACTTTTGGCCTGTACTGTATATGTTATTATGAAATGCCCATTCTGCATAATGAGGACTTTTTCGTATATATTGATGCTAATACTTTTACTTAAATAACATTTTCTTTTATAACTCAAGATCAAAATACTTCATCCACCAATGAATAAATATAAGTACATAAATGTGTGTGTACAAGTATATAAAATGCACAAAGCCTGCTTCCCTGTCTGATTAAAGTGCGCTCTCACCCTGCGATAAGCTGAACAAAAGTTTAAGAGTTCAAGTTCACTGATAAAAATCCCAACAAACCTTTAACAATTATTTATTTTCTTCCTTAGAAATAATACCCCGACGATTAAATCTGTTAGTACAACTGATGCTAAATCAGCCTTCAGTTCAGTGTTAGAATAACAAGCAGCCCCCACTATTAGAAACAAGGAATGTGACCTTATTATTCCAATTACTTTTGTTTAAATAATATCGAGAGAGACATCTTTTTCATGGAAAATATTAATCCTTGGAGTCCGCTTGTGCGTATGAACCTCGATTAGTTGCTGAGTAATGACAGAAATATTGGACGAGAGGCTGGAACTAATCTGCAGAGGAGCCAACGCCCAGTGCTGGAGCACAGCTAAGCACTAAACACTGTCATGACTGGAGACTACATGCTGTATCCACCTGAGTGCACGTCTGTCACTGTGTGCACTAATTAATCTACATATTTATTAGCTTGGGGCGCTAGGGCCATCAGAAGTCTGACAAATGGAGGAACATGAGCAGTGAAATGAAAATAACCTCCGTCTCCAGGTTACACAAACTTATTTCAAAGACACGGCAAATTGAAAATCCAAACAGTCCATTTAAAACATCCATCACAGTTTATAAACTTCAGTTCTGACCGACTCTGCTAACTATAGTGTAAGCTGCAACAAGGGATCATTACTAACGTTTTAAAGGTGAGCTCATTTTCAGTTTGACCTCCAAATAAATTTGTTTAGGTCAGTGGTTCCCAACTGGTCCATTCATGGGGTCCAGATTTCTCCTTAGTCATTAGTTCAGGGTCCACACAGTTTAATGTATCAGTGTCATACTTGTGTTTGGCCATGTGGACGAGCTAGTTTGCTGTCTCTGTCAAGCAGCTGTCCGTTAGTTACTCACTCTACAGCAGGAAATGACACTTCAAAGTAAAAGCTTTGTGCCGAAAATTCACTGTACTCAAAAATAAAGTGTGTTTTTACAAACTTGACGCGCTTGCGAGTCACTTGTGGTCCATTCAGAATGGACCTGTGACTTACTTTTGGACCGTGACCCACCAGTTGGGAACCACTGGTTTAGGTAATCTCGATAAACTCTGGGTTTGTTTCCAACTTGTCTGGTTTTATTTAATTTTTCTTGATGCAAACGTGTACTGGTGTGATGACACACACAACAGTGTCCGCAACCGGAAAAGCATCCACGGGTGCTCCAAGCACGTGCTTGACCCTCTCTACACGCGCCCTCAACCGTCCCTACACGCATGCTCAACTCTCTGTTTATTACCTGCTCAACACTTGCACGATATCGAAAGTAGCACAATGCAAAACGTTGCATTTTGAGACTGGAGACGGGGACAGTGCCTGAGGTCTCCCAGAGCCCTTGTTCTATTCTACAGCTCTGGGAGAGTCGAGTGCGCGTGTAGACACGGTTGACAGCGCACTCGACTGTGCTGGCAGACCTCATTTTGTGCGTGCAGAGCAGAAATGCTCCCTTGCAAGAATGTTTTTCCGCCCACGGATACTGTTGTGTGTACGCATAGGTTTTGAGACTAATTAAACGCCATAGTTATCACTCTACTGAATGGACGTTATCAGCCTCATAGGTAAGTGTTAAAAGAGGCCTGCTACACCTACTGGTAGGTTCAGAACGCTGTTAGTCCATTAAAAGGACGTGTTTATTGTTAGGTGGTGACCTCTAGTGGCCAAAGTAATTATGACAGGCGCAAAGGAGGAAGCCAGGTGACGTAGTATAAAGAGAGACAAAGTCTGTGAAGGCTGGAGGTCAGGGTGGACGGATGGGTTGAACAAACACAGGACTTTCACTCAGGACACGCTGTATGTGTCCTGGGTGAAACCAATGCTGTGTCTAAAATCGCGTACTTCTGTACTTACACTTCATATTTTGAGTGCGTTCAGACAGAAAAGTATGGAAAAATGCAGTGCACTATGAGTACCTAGATGGTGCACTCAAAACGGTCAAGAAGCTGAGTGTGGAACTATGGACACTTCTCGCCCTCAGTGGTTGCCATCTTGGCTACGTAGTGGAAGGGGAGGGACCACTTTTCAAACTGGAAATGGCGGCCGAGGACTGTGCGACGGTGAACGTCGCCGCATTGTACAAATACATGTGTTTTTTGCACTAAGCACCACTATACTGTTGTCAGGTATAAGCCAGCAGTATGTTGATTGGGTTCATTTAGCAGTCTGTAATGATTTGGTACCGCGAACGCAAATGCCAATGCTAGTTTGCTAACTAGCTAATTTGCGGCCGTCATTTCCGTTAAGTGCACAACGGCTGTGTTTGGTTTGAGACAACACTACCCTAATTTGCACACTACACCAATGAGTACATAGTGCACATATGATGCTACATGGAAGTGTACTGATGGAATTATGTGATTTGAGACGCACTACAAATGTTAATGTTGAGTTATTTTACTGTACGTACATAAGTTTGACACATCAAAAATGTACTTATTTTATGAAAAGATGCTGACTACACTTACTATTCTGGTACATCTACTGGTCGCCAATTTTGGTGTAATACAGACTCTTCATCTGAGTCCAGGCCTAACGGTAACACTTACATCTCGGTGATGCTTTTATATTGGAAAACTGAAACAAAACATGAGTATTAGTATTTTACTTTAAATGTGTCTGGAGTTGGACTTTTAATAATGGCCAAAACTAAGACAAGGCCCAAATTTAAAAGCCGTATTGTCCGTTCATTATTTGTCTGTCAGAGACTGCAGCACTACCTTGACTTTGCACATTCATAGCGTGACAGTAGCACTCTGTCGTGGCTCAGGTGCAGCTGACCTTGTTCACAGAGCTCTCCTGAGTAGCTGGGCAGGCAGAGACAGGTGAAGGAGTTGACTCCATCCAGACAGGTGGCTCCATTTAGACACGGGTTACACTGGCACTCATCAACATCTGCAGACACACAACACAGGCCACATTATCCCGCATCATTCATCTGTCAGTATGGGGTCAATATGGTTAGCTTAAAGACAGGACGTGTGTGTGTGTGTGTGTGTATACCTATTTCACAGAGCTGCCCAGTGTATCCAGGTGCACACACGCAGATATTTTGTTCCCCCTTTTGGAAGCAGGAGCCTCCATTGTGACACACACTGGTTGAGCACGGCAGCAGATCTACACAAACGACACAATGCAAACATGAGTCTGTTAAATAACACCAGTAACATGAATCATTAGCAGTGCTATGATGTACTGCAGTTTAGGTGTTCTCCATAATTAACTATTTATTAAACCCTGACCAGAGACTGTCCAATAATAGCTTAGCAACAGCAGCGGTGGAATGTAACTAAGTATATTTACTCAAGTACCTCTTTAAGGTGGCTGAGAGGGAAGTTGCAACCACAATAAACCAAAAACACACGAGCAAAAGCTTTATGAATTGTCTGCTCTAACGTTAGCATGCCCGGCTAACTATTACATTACTTCCCAAGCTTAAGAACATCACTTAAGGTGGTGACATTATTTTGTGAGGTTACAGGTGGCATTTGATATGATCTATATGAGAGCTGACTCTGTCATCGCAAAGTGGAGGGGATTGTGGATGGTGTGAAGACTTTTTGGCAAGTCGTTGCTGTGTTTTCAGGCACCAAACACGGGTGATTTGTGGCGACATGTTGCCGTTTTTCCAGTGGGGATAGTGCCACAAAAAGTGGTTATTTTTTGCAGAGACATTGCTGCATTTCCAGTGGGGATAGTGGCACCAAAAATTTATATATATATATATATATATATATATATATTTTTTTTTTACCGAGACTTTCTTGCGTTCTCTGCCGGGATAGTGGCAGCAAAAGTGATTGTTTTTTTTATTGAGACACTGCTGCATCTCCTACAGGAATAATGCCACAAAAAGTGGTTGTTTTTTACCTAGACATTGCTATCTTCCAGCAGGGATTGTGGCACTTAAAGCAGGCATATCAAGCCAAGTCATGATCTTTTTCTAACCATAAGCAAGTGCGTTTTATGCCTAAACCTCTACCTAAACATCTAGCAACAGCACTGTTAAAATGTAAAGTTTCTACGCATTTGCTACATTATAATGTGCAGATGTAATGTATCCACAGTTCGTAGAAACGTACACTGCCAACATTTATTCTGGTGATTAGGCTGAAGAGACCAGAGGTAAACCACTGAAGCTTAAGAACAAATTAAGGGTGCTTTCACACCTGCCCTGTCTGGTTTGGTTCAACTGAACTCAAGTTCATTTGCCCCCTCAGTGTGGTTCGTTTGGGCAGGTGTGAACACAGCAGTCACACTCAGGTGTGCACCAAAACAACCAGACCGAGACCTTCTTGAAGAGGTGGTCTCAGTCCGGTTCCAAACAAACTCTGGTGCAGTTGGTTTGTGGTGTGAAGGTGTTCCGACCTGGATGTGAAGCAACTGCAGTCACATGACACATTGTTTGGGTTAAACATGAGCATGTTACAGTCCTGGAGGATTATTAATGTGCACCTCCTCCTGTACTGCCTTAATATGCACATTCAGCACATCCAATGCATCAAAACATTGTTTTCTAGTTGGAGCCGCGCCTCGTTTTCAAACTGTATGCTTTGACTAAAATGAACAATGACAGCAATATAGTCCACGATGAGCAGCGCTAAAATCAACCTGCGTAGTTGTCCCTCCATTGTGACATTAGAAAGTGTCACATTTATCTTGCAAGTGTACTCTTCTTCAACGTTTGCTTTACTTCCTGGATTTTTCCCACATGGAAATTCTGACCAATCAAGAGCAGCTTTCTCACACAAGGCATTTGATCTGGTCCTCTTGTAAATGCTGCCGTGAGAACACGAACCAACTCTAGGCAATTATACAACTTTGTGACAACATGAGTCCCTGATTCAGACCAAAGGAGACGACTCTAGGGCTGAGAGCAGCCTAAAGAACAATGAGGATCATGTACCTTGGACGTTCACAGTGCTGGCCTCCACAGAATAAGTGGTGCTGTCTGGGTGCTCTGTGGCTGTGAGGATCCTTTCTGGTATCGGAGGGCGTGACTCTGGCAGAAGGGGGGCAATCTCTGTGTCATAGTCCACAAATTCATCATCTGGTAGAGGTGTGGCAGCGGGGTCGGGGCTCAGAGCCCACTGGGGGACAGAGTGGGTGATGCGGTCGAAAGTGTACAAGGGCGAGGTGGTGGAAAGCATCGTCTGGGTGGAGATGGTGGTAGAATGCTCAGTCTGGTCTCTGTGCAGCTCACTGGCAGGTGGGGTGTGGTCTTCAGGGGTTGTGGCTGCAGGCTCGGCCATAACAGCGGGATGTTTCTTATCATCTGTGGCAACATGGGAGGGGTGTGTGGAGAATTCTGGTGTGCTAGGCTCTGAGGTCACGTCCTTAATGTCTGTGGCGAATGTGGTTTGATCCTCAAAAGTCACAGCTGCCACATCTGGGAAAACAGCAATAGTGACCTCTCTCTGAGGGTCAACCAGACCACCCTGCTCCCCAGAAACCTCCCCCTCTCTGGACAGCTGCTCTGCACCTGAGTCTGCTTCTGTGACTGTGTCAACAGCCGGCACAACTACAGGCCCTTCTGTTACTGTCGTACTTGCTGCAGGTGTCGGTGATAGCGTGCTGGCAAAGCTGGGCGTCTCCTGTGGGTCTTGTCCTGACGCTTCGTCCTCTCCAGAGGCAGATCCTTCGAAGTCTTCTGTCTGCGTCTGTGTCTGTGTGGTTGTCTCTGGTGACTGTGTGTCTGGTACTAAAGTAGGAAGCTCCGGCCCTTCAGTCTCATCAGTCATGACACCAGACTGGCTTCCTGCAGCCGGGGTGGGCAGAGCGCCGTCTGCAGAGCCCTCCTGTGTAGTCTCATCAATGCCACGGCTTGCAGAGCCTTCCATGTCCTCGTAGGTGGAGATTCCAATGGTGACAGGCTGGGAGACACTGGGAGGGACTGGTCCTGATGGTGTGGTGGGTGCTGCTGATGACACTGAGTGAATATATGGGGTCATGGTGGTGGTTCTTGTTGCTGTCTGATCACCTGGTTCTTGAGTTTTGACTTCCTCTAAGTCAGGAAAGACATCAGGGGCCGTGTCACCGTCAACGCCCAAGTCTGGAACTACATCTGGGTATGTATCTGGATGAGGGATTGTCTCACTGGTGTCCTCTATGGGTGTCTCCTCTGTAGGTGTCTCTTCTGTTTGGATTTCTATGACACCGTAGTCAAAGGTCGTCACGCTCTCCTCCTCCACCTCTTTCTCTTTTTCTTCTTCTTCTTCTCCTTCTTCTTCTTCTTCTTCTTCTGGCACCTCCTCTACCTGAACAGGTGTGGCTGTCTCAAACTGGTCTCCTCTGGCTTCCTCCGGCAGCTTTGGAGCAAATGTCACCTGAATGGAACAAAAGGTAGATGGATTGTAACTTTGGACATCGTTCCTATCAGCGTTATTTCATCAGTGAAGACTATGACCAAAAATGTTGACTGACAACCTGTTTTTCTCAACAACATCTAAACTAAATAGAAAAGTAGTGATGTTATTGGACATTTTAACTGCTTATCTCTTACTAAACCCAGACAGTGAACAGTATGTTAGTTAGTTCAAAACCAAGAGAAATGACGCCCAAAACTGCAAAAAAAAAAAAAAGACCCAATTTAAAATTTTAATCTGTTGATGAAACACTTCAGTGTATGGACGATACCTCATGTTTTCCATTGACAAAGCTGACAGTTGGAGGCAGGCTGATGGGGGAAGCATCCAGAGAGTCGAGGTCTCCGCTGCTGTGGAGAACAGCTTCACTAGAGATCTGCGACAGGTCAGTGATCCGCGGGAATTGTAAGTGGGAGCCGTCGACCACAGGCTGCTTTAAGATGTCCACGATCTGGTCAACTGACAGACGAACAGGAAACAGACAAACAAGATGCCAAGTTCAAAAGTCAAGTAGAAGAAATGCAGACAATACGGCGAAAGAAATGATAATTTTGTTTGGTTATTCCTCCATTAATGCAATTCAACATTTTTTATCACATCTGTAGGTTTGGACAAAACAAGCAGTTTGAGGACGTGACTGTGTGTTTGTCTGGGAAGTTTTGAGGACATTTTTCTCACAATTTTCTAAAAGATGATGAAAGGGGAAGATGAGTAAAATAAACGATAATGAGTCAGTATCGTTATGTTTCAGAGATGGAGAGAAAATTTTGCTAATAGTTTAGCCTTTAGCTAAAGGAGTTAAAGGCTCACGGCTGCAGCTTCAGGGTTACGTTTATTAAGTTAACGTTAGCTAGAGCCTTGAATCAAAGTGTGTGTCCTCTGCCTCACTCCCCGCCACCACAGACCACCTTACCAGGAGACAAGCGGCCAGCACCTCTGGAGACAGACCCCCAGACAGCAGCAATCCCAATCCAGCCAGCACAAACCCCAGATCCAGGGGACCAGACAGCCCTGACTCCTCACTTGATCAGTAAACTTTCTGTTGCTGCTGTTACACAGGTTGAACCTGGTGCTGCCACTGGCCACCAGCCTGCTGTGCCACCAGGTGCTGGGGGTTTGTGCTAACTGAATTCAAGACACTACAGCTGCAGACCAAGGGTCCATCTCCCAAGTTTCTGTGTGCTCTCCTCCCGGGGAGGCAGTCCACAGTAGCGTGGAGTGAGGCAGAGGGATAGTGGGGTGGCTAGCAGCTAATTCCTGTCTCATTTGTGGTCTGTTAAACAGGAAGGGGAAAGCAGGGACAAAGGGAGGCTGAGCAAATACATTGGGGGCAACTCTACAATGAAATGAGATTAAATAAATTACTGTATGGGAAATACAGGGTTACTGTATGAAGCGTGTGCATATGCTCATGTTTGTCTGGAGCTTAGGACAGAGAGGGAGGGAGTATTTTCAAATCCTGCCTTTTTTTTGCCTTTTCCAGATTTCTGCCCCAGCTTTAAAGAAAAAAAGGGTAAATATGACGCATATGACTGATCTAACCAAGCTCCAAACAACTTTTGGTTTGATTGGACAGTTTTTTTTAGAAACTCATAATTAAACTCAGCAGTAAAAACGTAACTGGCTTTGAAACTCGGCCCTAAAAACATCTTCCTCAGTGCAGCATGTGTCTGATATTGATTAAAGGAAGCCAGGGTGTGTATCTGGTCGGTTAACAATCAGCTTCTGATGAAGGTCAGTGGGTGCCAGGGGCCGCTCTCTAACAAAGCATGCTTGTGTCTCTTCATTAAGACTTTACGGTACACATGGAAGCTATATTGTGGAAACTGTGAGAAAAACAGAGCTGAACGTGACATAAACACAGACCTGAGTCTGGTTATCTCGTGTGAGGAGAAGCGCACGCTGTGACTGGATTATGAGCTCCTCTTCCAGCTAAACAAATCTAAGGAGTTAACCTGGGTTAGACGCAACAAGTCTAAAAAGCCTCTGTGTGACTCGGAACTTGATCCAACATGAAACAGGAAGAGTTTTCATTAAAGCACTCGATGCTTCAATTTTCCTAATTTCCTCAAGACGTGGAAACAGTGAGTCGGGGGCCTCACACAAACCGGCGGCTGCTTTATGTGATGATGTATTACCTCTGCAACAGGATACGCCTTCAGCATTTCAATAATAAACAACTGCTGGAAGATGGCACCACTTGGCTGAGGGGGTAACAAACACATGAGCGCTGTAATTTGCGTGTGTGTGTGTGGCCCCTGCACCAAACCCCCACTCACATTGAGGCAAACCCAGGTATGAGGCCTAATGCATGCTTTATCATCACTCTTTCTCTCACTGGAGACGTGATTGGTGTTAAGGAAGTTATTGATGACCCCTGTGGTCAGATCCTCCTGAAGGTGTTTGTTCCAGTCAGGGTTAGTTAGCACATTATTGTGTTTTGTAAACTTTTGTTTGTTTTAGTTTGTGGTTTCATTCTGCTGTTTTTAAATCGCTTTAGCCACGCCTGTTTTCTTAATGTGCTCCTCAGGTTCATGAGTGGATTACTGGACAGGCCTACCGGGCACAGGCCCAGGGGCCCAAAGTGTCAGGGGGCCCCTCTGGCCTTCACCTGCAAAATGTCAAATGTCAAATTAACACGTACCGACCATGAAGAGACTCAAAATTACCACAGAGAGACAAAAAAACCCACCAGGGTGTGTGTGTGTGTGTGTGTGTGTGTGTGTGTGTCTGTCTGGAGTTTTTATATTTCTGTCAACTTTCTCTCTTACTCCATCACATTTCCTAGCTTACAAGTTGAATCATAGGTTACTTGTGTTAAGGTAAGTGCAAACAAATGCTCTCAAAGCTGCAGATAAGTTTGAATTTCCAATCAAGCCCAGGCTGCATGTCAGATGCTGCGTGCTAGCAACGACATTCCACTTAAAGATGAGATGGACTTCATGGAAGCAGAAAACGGCGTCCCACAGCAGAGATGACCCCTGTGCTGACATTCTGTGCGTCGATATTTTTTTATGCTCTTCAGTATGTCACATACGACTCAGCCGGTCAAATCACTGGTGGCTGGTTTTAGAACGTAAAGCTCGTCACCTGTTTCAACAGCCAATCAGCTTGTGGTGAAGTCTGCTGGTCAAGTCAAAATTAAATGCATCACTGTCGGGTGTAAAGCCCAGTTCAGACCAAAGCTTCGCAACGAGACGAGTTGAAACAGAAGACTACTTGCTAAGCACCGTTCTGCAACGTTCTAAAAACCTGCCGGTTCACACCAATGCAACTAGATGAGACGGTGTATCATCTCTATGCAACAGCTCTCTACTTCTGTTCTGATTTGCAGCTTTTCAGACTTATTTTGTGGCTGAATATAATTTGTAGCTTCTTAAAATATGAATGAGGATAGTGATAGTGAGATACTGGCTACAGCTGCATTTGTAGTAGTGATGAAACGGTGTAAAACAGCACGTACAGCGAGCAGCAGCACCGTCCAACACCGGCACACTATGAGGATGGAAACAGGGCTCGGTGGGGACGGAGCCCATGCTGCAGCAAGCAAACACGCCGTCTGCAGTCATTTGGACTTCACCAGCAGACTTCACAATGAGCTGATTGGCTTGAGCCAAGCTCAGAGCGGCCAGTTCACACCGCTGCAACTTTCTTCGGCAAAACTTTTTCATGTCATTGCGAATCTTTGTTCTAAACACTTGAAACTTTCCATGCGAAAGGGCAGTAAAAAGTTACTTTATAAATGTTGAGCAGCTGTATCATGTCAGGGAATATTAATAAAAATATAATAAAGACAAATATTAGATCAGATGCAGTATCAGCTGATACAATCAAAAGATTTGGAGCAAAGAAAACATCTCTTTGGCACTTTTGACTGAGAACTCTCCAACAAGAAATGTTAGTTAAAGACATTTAGACTCTGGGGCCCCCTGAGCATTCGGGGTCCCTGGGCCTGATTCAGTAATCCCTCCATAGTGGGAATAGAGCTAATACAGACAAATGGGGAAAGACAGAGAATCAGAGAATGTGGAAACAGTTGGAGGAGTTAGTTGTGGCAACTCAAGCAGCTCCCTCGAGAGAAGACAATTAAGGTCAAATATTTGGGGTCCTCTCATCTCTGTCTACGGATATTTAGAGAGCTGAACACTGAGCTCTTTAGAGGTGGTTAATCACTGCGTCGGACCACCAGTGTGTCTTTGTGAAACGACAGATTAATTTGCTCTGATGTATTTGACTATTCATGAAGCTGCTTTCCCCACTGGACACACTGTGATGTGTTTACAATATGTTAAGCTACAAAACTGGCCCAGCAGAGATGACTGACTTCATAACTTTCCACATCTGGCTCTGCAAACTGTGTGTGTGTGTGTGAGAATCTGTCAGCAAACAAAAGGTAACAAACTCTTCGCTGTTTCCTACGAAGACAACAAACAACACTAATCAGCCACAGCAGATTACTGTAGAGTCCCTGACAGCACAGTGCAACAAACATGAGGTCACTGACAGATAAATGTTCCCGCTGAAAGATGGAACAGTTTCACGTGAAATGTGAGAACGTTTCGGTCCAAAGCACAAAAGGCTTGCGAAAGGTGCAGGGGGGAAACACATTACAGTAAACATATGTGGAAAATGTGTTGCGGTTCAGCTGAGGTCAGGGATGTCAAACAGAAGACGGCTGTGAAATACTGGTTACTGTCCGCCATATTTCTGCAGTAATCACACTCTGGAGGTCAGTCTGTGAATCCCACTGCATCCATACTGGGGTTTGACCTTCCAGCAGTGTTTTTCTAATGACGTTATGGTCCGTGAGTTGACCAGTGGACAGTTCACTGTGAATCATGTCATGAAAGTTGTCTTTTTTCTCTTTAATTCCAAGTTAAACCTCTGAAACAGTCTTTCCATCATCCCACAACAGTGTTTTTTTAAATTAAAACTACTTTTTGATTTTAAAAAATTAAATACTGATTTAAATATAATTTGTAAAGATCTGTGTGAATTCAATATGCCTGCCATGTACTCCTCTGTGTAGTCTAATTTTTAAACTCTTGTCCAGCTGGTATATTCACCTTCTTTTGTTTTCTTTGATCAAGCAAAAAGCAAAAACTCTGAACACCAAATGTGATGACTGAGAACATACAAACAAAACAATCATAGCCGCCAACTGTTGCATGTTCGTGTACATAAACAAACATGGACACCAACTGTTAAAACAAACATGGATGCCAACTTTAAAAACAAATATGGACACCAGCTGTTGCATGTTGTTGTACAAAAACAATCATGGATGCCAAGTGACACGTGTTCTCATACCAAAACAAACATGGACGGCAACTGACACGTACTCTTGTCCCAAAACAACCACGGATGCCAACTGTTGCATGTTGTCATACCAAAACATGCATGGCGGCTAACTGACACGTGTTCTAGTACCAAAACAAACATGGACGGCAACTGACATGTGTTCTAATACCAAAACAAACATGGCTGCTAACTGACACATGTTCTAATACCAAAACAAACATGGACACTAACTGACACGTGTTCTAATACCAAAACAAACATGATGGCAACTGACACGTGTTCTAATACCAAAACAAACATGGACGGCAACTGACACATGTTCTCGTACCAAAACAAACATGGCTGCTAACTGACACGTGTTCTCGTACCAAAACAAACATGGCTGCTAACTGACACGTGTTCTAATACCAAAACAAACATGGACGGCAACTGACACATGTTCTCGTACCAAAACAAACATGGCTGCTAACTGACACGTGTTCTCGTACCAAAACAAACATGGCTGCTAACTGACACGTGTTCTAATACCAAAACAAACATGGACGGCAACTGACACATGTTCTCGTACCAAAACAAACATGGCTGCTAACTGACACATGTTCTTGTACCAAAACAAACATGGCGGCTAACTGACACGTGTTCTCGTACCAAAACAAACATGGCTGCTAACTGACACGTGTTCTAATACCAAAACAAACATGGACGCTAACTGACACGTGTTCTAATACCAAAACAAACTTGGCGGCTAACTGACACGTGTTCTCATACCAAAACAAACATGGACACTAACTGACACGTGTTCTCGTACCAAAACAAACATGGCGGCTAACTGACACGTGTTCTCGTACCAAAACAAACATGGACGCCAACTGACACGTGTTCACGTACCAAAACAAACATGGCTGCTAACTGTCACATGTTCTTATACCAAAACAAACATGGCCGCCAACTGACACGTGTTTTTATACTAGAATAAACAAGGCTGCCAACTGACACGTTTTCATCCCAAAACAAACATGGTCGCCAACCAACACATGTTCTCATACCAGAACAAACATGGCTGCCAACTGTCAAAACAAACATGGATGCCAACTGACACACATTCTCATACTAAAACAAACATGGACGCTAACTGTCATGTGCTTTTGTACCAAAACAAACATGGCCACCAAGTGGCACGTGCTCTTGTGCCGAAACAAACGATGACGCCAAGTGTTATGTATGCTTGTCCCGAAATAAACATGGACGCCAAAAGTTGCATGTTCTTGTACAAAAACAAACATGGACACCAACTGTCAAACAAACACGGACGCAACTGTGACATGTTCTTTTACCAAAACAATCAGTGATGCCAACTGTCACATTTTTGTACCCAAGCAAATATGGATGCCAACTGTTACATGTTCTCGTACTGAAACAAACATGGACGCTGACTGTCACATGTTCACATACCACAACAAACATGGGGGCCAACCAGCAGCTTGTTTAAATGCAGCGACATTTGTGCTGAAAAGGCCAAAAGAAAAAACAAGGTAAAAATGTCCAGTTTGGTGAGATCCTGGAGGGAATGACACGTAGGAGAGTAGGGCCTGAGGAGGAAATGGAGCTGACGTCATCGGTAGCTGCAATCAGTCGCAATTACCAAACATGTTTAAGGCAACGTTTTGGAGAATGACCAACAGACACTTAAGACTTAAGATTAGACTCTTACATATCTCACACATATGATTTTATCCATCACACCAGCTGACCCAGACTTACTTGACTGATTTTGGTCGTGCAAGCTGACGATGATGAGATGGAAAGGTGGTTTGGCTGAAGACTCCCTGTCTACAGGAAGAGCCAGTGATGGGTCGAGGTCAAACGTCGGTGGAGTTCCAGAGGTGACGTCTTCTTTAAAAACAACAGCCGGTTGTTGCCCCTCCTCTCCGGCCCCAGCAGTGACGTCTGATCCTGGGGTGTGGATTTCTGGAATGACCACCCCTGGAGCTGTCTCTAGAAGCTGTGACCGTCTGGACGTTGCTTCCACCCACACCCGTGTTGGGGTCACCACTACTCCCACCTCAGCGCCACTTGAGCTGTCATCACTGCTGCCTCCATCAGTGCTGCCGCTGCTCTCCCCTCGGCCTGACCCCACCTGGCCTGCCTCCGTTCCCCCGTAGAAGATGTCAAGGTGTGCGGGCTGGGAGCGGGTGGTGGGTAAAGGAGGGAGCTGCATGGGGAGCAAAATGTCTCCTCTAACTGGTACCGACTCTACTTTGTGCGAGTCAAAATCTCGAATATCGTAGTCATCTAATATGACAGTGTGAGGGGAGGTGTGTTGGTGTGGTGTGGCTGTGGGGGCTCTTTGAATTTCAGCTCTTTCAGGAACTAGGGCTGGTCCGGGTGTTGGAGTGTGTGGAGCGTATACGGGGCTGTCAGGTTTGTACTCAGCTGGGATCATCGGTGGACTCTCAGTAGTCGGCTCTGGTTCTTTAGCTGTAAGAGAAGGACACAGAGAAGGAGAGAGGAAGATTTAAAACCTCAGCCTGCAGAGACTCAGCTGCCAAACAGAAACGTCAGTAATAAAAGAAATGACCAAATTCATATTTTAATGATACTGAAACTCATCAGCCTAGTGGTCAAAGTTGGTATTGCAGGATGTCGCCATGCACACTGGCCCATAAGTCTTGTTCCCCACACAATCAGAACAAAAGGAACCATAGTTTAAAACCTCCTGCGTCATATGAGGACATCACATTTTGGTCTCCTGAACCTTACACTTCATCCTGCTTAACTTAAACCTGTTGTCCTCATTCGTGGACACTTTCATGTGCCATCTTGTGGTGGCACAAGCACCATACACTCATGTAAAAACAAGATGGCAGCCCTCTCTGCCAAGTCAGCCGATTCCAACACAAAAGTGGACAAGGTCCAAAACCTGATCACATTTTATGATTGAAATTTGTTTATTTATGCTTAATAATGTTTGTAGTTTGATATGGCAACAAATTTGACACTGAGAATTAGGAGGTACTCATTTGACGACACTGGGACTTTATTATTATTCGCTATAACAGGCTGTTCCTAGAGACAAAATGGACAGTCCTAGCTTGAATTATATAACCAGGAACAAACTAAGACATTTAGATATGTTGTATTATTTGCAGTTTTGTTTTGCACAGCCATGTACAGGCGTTGAATGAACACTTTCAAACAGTTTTAGACTTGAGCAGTGCCCCCCTCACCCATAGTTACGAAACATTGAACAAATGTTGCATTGTTTGCAATTTTGTTTTTGCACAGCCATTTTTAGGCATTGAAATAAACAGTTTCGTACTTTGTTACGAACTTGTGACTATTAAAAATCCAAATAGCTTGGAGAAAATACAAAATGCTTACCAAAAACTAAAAAACAACTCGGGTCTCAGGATGTTAAAACTTTATAGAATCAGAATTCCGTCCATCAGGTCCAATATAATTTGAAAAGACTAAATTATTTTCATGCCTTTACATTACTGTGAAGCTTTTTCTAAAGCATACCACATTTCTTTGTACATTGATTTCCTACCTTTTTGGGCAGGAGCAGAGACTCTGATGACTTGGTACGATACATACAGTATACAGTTATGGATTTCTGAGAAAACTAACATTTTAGTATCTCAAGAAGTCATGGAAAGAGATAATGTCTCCTTCTCCATAGCAACATCGGCTAAGGCTCATGGGTATTGGAGTATTTAGAGCCATCCTCACGGAAAACTCTGAACTTCTCTGACTATATTTTAAAGGGACAGTTCACCCCAAAATCAAATATACATATTTTTCCTCTTACCCGTAGTGCTCAATCAATCCAAATGGTTTTGGTGTGAGTGTTGGAGATATCAGTTGTAGAGATGTCTGCCTTCTCTCCAGTATAATGGAACTAGATCAGCTTTCAAAATACATTTGAAAAACTCAACATCAGTGTCTCTCTCCAGAAATCATGACCTGGTTACTGAAGATAATCCACAGACCTTGTTGAGAGCAGTTTCATGTCGGAACTATTTTCTTTCTACTCAACTACACCTGCCAACCGAATCACTGCACAGAAGGACATGTGCATCTACTCATGGACGAGAGGCTCGTGCTCATGACAGCGCGAGATGTAAATATTAATGGTGTCCTCCTCAGCTGAGCTGTAACGTTAGCTAGCTCAGTGGTGCTAGGTGAGCTAGCAGTGGATGCACACTTCCCTCTGAGTAGTGATACAGTTGGCAGGTGTAGTTCAGTAGAAAGAAAATAGTTCCTACATGAAACTGCTCACAACAAGGTCTGTGGATTATCTTGAGTAACCAGGTCATGATTTCTGCAAAGAGACATTGATGTTGAGTTTTTCAAATGTATTTTTTTGTCACTTTGAGCACCACAAGCCGAGTACCATCTATTTTCATTATACTGGAGAGAAGGCAGACATCTCTACGGCTGATATCTCCAGCACTCTGCAGCTCACACCAAAACTACCTAGACTGATAAACAGCACTACAGGTAAGAGGAAACATATGCATTTTTGATTTTGGGGTGAACTGTCCCTTTAAAAACCATTTAAATGATGGCCATAATACAAACTATAGTGTCATTAAATGATCCAGGATACTCCAATTAAAGAAAAAGATTCAGTTACTGTCTAAAATAGACTTCACAACTTCTCTGTCAAAGCGAATCAGGTTTGTTTTGTCTTTAAAACCTAAAATATCATTTTAGGTTTCTCTGCATTTCATCAGTTTGTTTTTGATCAAGCTTCATGAATGTTTGAGTAACACTGCACAGTCCATCAGGTGTAGTCATCAGATACTCAAATGCCCAGGTGGCGGTGAATGCCACACCGAAGAGCAACCTTGATTTATATCACGTTAAAAATAATCATGGCTGCCTAAAGAGGCAGAAAATCATCCCAAAGAGAGGTGGTATGCTCTGCAGTCATGTAAAGTATACATCATTTGTCATCACAGGGATGAAGCACGTAGTCCAGTCCTGCTATAGTTGTATAGTATCCAAGTTTAAATGTTTACAGAATAAACCTGTATCATCGTGACTCATTACAAAAAGAAAACTGCACTATCTGGAAAAGGCTAATCATGCAGCTGTCAGACGGCCGTTAGCTTACAGACAGCTATAAAAGGAAATGTAGCAGCTTTGATTTTTAAAACATGAAGTCACCTGTCAGAAATAAAACAGACTGCGGTGCCAGCCGTGTCAGAATAAAAACAGTCACTAATGAAGACCTGAGTGTGGCCAGAGGAGCCGTGTTTTTCTTTGTGGCTTTCACAGTGAACCAGTTTCTCTTTCTATAGCCTGAATCCATCTTTCTCCTCTAAACACAAACTATTTACAGCCCTGCACAGACCATACGGCTTTTGTTGTAACGAGCTCTGCTGTGATGGTCACAAAGATTTATATCTCATTATGATGGAATACATACCATATGAGCAAAGACAGGAAATGGGACTCCTAAACACACACACAATGCTCTCCTTTGTGGAGGTCTAAGTGCTGAGTTCATGTAGTTGGTGTCTTGGGAGAAAGCAGCCGGCTTTGAACGTCACTGGCATAATGCTTTAATAAACGCTACGTAATTGACTCCCCTCCGTCCCTCCGCGCTGGCTGTCAGGAGCACATAGGGATGGGTGGGAGGCGTGGGCGGGTGGTATTAGGAGGGGTTCCCCTTTTCTCTTTCTCTTGCGAACATTGTTTAAGTACTTTACTTGAGTATTTCCATTTGCTTTTACTTCTATATTCCAGAGGGAAATATTGTACTTTTTACTTTATGACAGCTAGAGCTACTATTGAGAACATTTTTTTAACATTAAAAACATTTGGATGAGTATAAATCCAGTAGGTTTAAATGGTGTTTTCAGGTCTTTTCAGATTGTGACCTCTTACAAAAAGTTTCCATCTAAAAACCAAAATTCCCCAAAAACTGACTAAATAAAACTTGAATGAACGCTTGTTTCCATCCACTACGTTTGTGTGCATATGAGTTTGTTGGCTGATAGAGACAAACAGCTGGTGGAGCTAATTCTCCAGCTGGTGCCATTAAAGATTAACTATGTAGTATTTTCCTAAAAAGCAATGTCAAACAGAAGTAATTCCTCTCAATTATCACGTATAACCCACTCGCAGTGTGTGGCAGTGTATGCATCTGTCCTCTAACTGGATTTTCTTAAGGGCTGTGCACATGCCGCGTTTTTTGCGCCCTAAAATTCATTGTTTAAATGTAGACGCACTGCAGGAGCTCAAACACCAGAGCGGTGCCAGAGTGCCGCGCACCGTGTTCCCAAGCGCCTATTTTTCAGGGTGCGATGGCTGTGCCCCGAGATAAACAGAGTTCAACTTCAGGAACGCAGCAGAGTGCACTGCATGTCATGTGAAGAGGACCAACCAATCACAGCGACAGATATCTTTCCCATCTTCTGTAAATATTCAGTCTGATAAATACGTAAAAGTTGATCATGTTAGTGCAGGGCTACCCAGAGCTTTACATCTGTCCCACAGACAATAGGCCTACACACTTATAAACAGCGCCTGGAGGAAGATCAGCTCTGCACTCAGGATTTCAGGTAAATGATGCTTCTATGACGCTTGTTACGGTTGCTTAGCAACCTCAGGTGCAACCTGCCGCTGTGCTCTTAAAAGTAGAGTTGTACCGATAACAATACCAGTATCGGAAATGCCTCAGATACTGCCTAAAATGCAGAACCGGGTATCGGCGAGTACAGCCTATGACCAATCCAATGTACCATGTAATGCCTCACGTCATTACGCACATGCACGCTACAGGCAAACGAAATGGAAACGGAGCGGAGTTTAAAAAGCATTCTACTGTAGCCTTTAAAATGTCTTTTTTACCAAATTGTGTGGCTGCACTTTAACCTGTGTCTTGATCTGTGTCAACACTGGATAATAATAATAAAAAAAAGTTTTATGGCATTCATTCTACTATTATGTATTTATTTCTTAATATTTTTCATAGAGTTTTAGGAGTTGAGACATACAACAATTCATATCCCATCCATTTTTATTTTACACGCTGTATCGGATCGGTACTCGGTATCGGCAGATACCTAAGGTTCAGGGATTGGAATTGGTATCGCGAAGGAAAAAGTGGAATCGGTACATCTCTACTTAAAAGGTGGCACAAAAAAGGCACAAGAGTAGCGCCCGACCTCCTGTTTTCCAGGCGGTTAAAGATGCGGCATGTGTATGGCCCTTTAGTTTCTTCTGATGTTGCTGTGTTCAGGATGTTTCTAAGCACAGCGTTCAGGTGCGGTCGGTCAAACTTCCTAGGAAGAGATCCATTTGAAGTGTTTTTCAAAAAATTCAAAATGGCGGAAAATCTATATAACTGGAAGTTATGGGTTCTTGAAACAAATATGTTCCACATGAGGAGAGGCATCTCTGTGCAAAGTTTCATGTCTCTACGACATACGGGGCATGAGATATGCCCATTCAAAGTTTGCAAT